CTCTGTAATAAATAAAAGTTTAATAACATAATTAACTTTAATAGCAAAACCATTTTACGATAAACACACAATAAATTAAATCTAAACTTCAAAATTCTTTTTTAGTGTTATTGATTGTATTACAATGTAGTATATTAATTTACTGACGCACAAGGAGCCAACGCCTATGCCTCCGTTAGAACTCAAACTTGAGTAGACTTTCTCCTGAATCCAGGGGAGTATACTTTAAAGTTCTTTAATTTTTAATAAAGTAGTAATTTCACATAGTACAAATTACACTGAAGATATTTTTAAAAAATTTAACTAAATTTTGAGTAAATCATAGTGAAAGTATCTAAATAGGAGTTCTGTTATATATTTTAGTGTTATTAGAAAACTATTTGACCAATACTATCATAATAATCATCAAAGAAATTTGGTGGTACAGAGTGCACACTTCGTTGAGTTTGTTATGATAGAAGTCTCGTTTTAACAGGAGTTCTAAGGGGGCAGCGCCCCCTTAGAGTTAGGGGTAGACACGATACAGTTCCGAGACGGTTCTAGTACCGCCACCCCTTAGTACCGTTACTGTCACCGTGCCGGTACCCGTACCGGCGGTTACGGTACCGTACCGACCGGTTTCGGCAACCCCCCTTTTTTTTTTTAATTTTTAAAAGTGTAAATGTGTAATTAAAGGAAATAATGAAATAAAAGATCTAAAAATGTAAGTGTTATTTAAATATTGCAAAATGAGTAATACACGAACAACTACATTTAATATCCTAACGGTTCAAAAAAAGCGACAAGGTAAAGAACCGTAAAGAAACCCTCGAAGGAACTTATATATCGCTCACCTAAAAAAACTATTTACATAATTACATATTTACATTAACATAAAAAAAAGTTTATAACTTATTCCTCAGAACTAAGGCGTCCATATGTGGTTGCATTCATGTAAAGTTCAGAATTGAATTTGTACCCTGACTCTTGAGCTCGACGTCTCGCCAAGAGCCAATCTCGGTTGCAAACAAGTGTTTCAAGAGATTCGGCGCTAAGACAACTTCGGTAGTCGGTTAGAATGTTGTTGAATTTTTGTTCCACAGCTACGGTTGATACCAGGACGGATAAAACTTGTCTCGCTAGCATTCTGATGAGACATAGGAACATGTGTTCGTTCCGCTTCCACCATGCGAGGACGTCAAATTGCACGTCATCGTCGTAGTCGTAATCGCATGGCAACCCTTGGTACATAGCAAGTTCGTTGTGCGAGCTTACAGATGTACCACCTGAACTCGTCGAAGGCTGACCACGCTTACCTTTTTTTGCCAAGAGCCCACCGACTAATCCTTTAAAACCTTTTTTTGATTTGGCGGCGAAGGAGGTGTTGTTTCTTCTAGTACATTACCGTATGTTCCTTGAAATTATATAAATAAAGCCTCATTAAGAACAATAACATTATCTCTTTCTTTTGTGCATTCTATTAAATGGTTATAGTAATAATTATTTTCATCTAAAAAACAAGTGTAGTAATAGTCAATTAGAATTTTAAAATTTTTAATCTTAAAGCGAGGATCACAAATAATACCTATTTTATAAATATCATGAATGTACAAATAATAAGCACACCATTTATCTTTCATGGGAGCTAGACACATTGGGGTACAAATCTCGATCAGCTAAACGCTCACGAAAACATGTTACGATTGTAACACACTCTTTTAAAAACCTATTTGTAGTTGGTTGGTAAACATGCGAGAAAGTAAGAGTTGCGTTATTAAAAATGTAGAAGTTTTAGCGAAACTGAACTGCTTTTCATTAATCATAAACCGATATATATACAAGTACATAAACGGGCTAACAAGTACAGACCCAATAACATAATATCTACGGTTAATTACAAATATTCGCTAACACTCCCCCTCAAGTTGGTGCATGAAGATCTCGAATGCCCAACTTGAATAGTAAGAAATCAAAAACAAGTTTGGATAACGGTTTAGTAAAAATGTCGGCCAACTGATAATGTGTAGGAACATAGCGTGTAGACACCTCATGGCACTGAACAGATTCACGAAATGTATGACAATCGACATCAATATGCTTCATTCGTTTGTGGAACACCAGATTTGCTGCAATATACAAAGTTGATTGATTATCACAATATAAACGTGGAGGATATAAAATGGGGACACCTAACACGCCCAAAATGCCATGCATCCAGCGTATCTCAACGCATGCATTGGCCATGGCCTTATACTCAGCTTCTGCAGAAGACCGCGCCACGGTGGCCTGTTTCTTCGTCTTCCATGAAACCGGGGAAGTACCCAACATGATAAAATATCCTCTAACGGACCATCGAGAAAGAGGGAAACTCGCCCAGTTAGAGTCACAATAAGCGGTAATCTGAAGATTACTAGTGGCGCTAAGAAAAATCCCCTGACCCGGGTGGCCTTTGATATAACGCAGAACTCGCAGAGCAGCATTCATGTGATCAAGATTGGGTGCCTGCATAAACTGGGACAAAACATGAACAGAGTGACAAATATCCGAACGAGTGATAGTAAGGTAGATCAAATGGCCAACTAGTCGACGATATCTTAGAGGATCGTGGAGAGTAGGGGCTGCCGAGGTGGCCAGGCCGTGCGTCGTCGGCATAGGAGTGCCCGCCGGCTTGCATCCCAAAAGGCCGGCCTCGTGTAAAATCTCCATTGCATATTTGTTCTGACAAAGGACCATGCTAGACGGAGACCGAGCACATTCAATCCCCAAGAAATATTTGACAGGACCCAAGTCTTTCAGCTGAAAACACTGGTCCAAGTATCACTTAAAGGAAGAGCACATGGAAGGAATTTTGCCTGCAACCAAGATATCATCAACATATACAAACACAGTAAGAATATCAGGGCCACGGCATAAAATAAATAAAGTGTGGTCCTTGTGAGCTTGCTTGAACCCCCAATGAGAAAAGCATATAATAAGACCTCCTCAATAAGACCGCATATAGACCTCCTCAATAAGACCACCATTCAGAAAAGCATTAATAACGTCAAGCTAATGAACCTCCCAATTTTTAGCCACAGCCACAGATAATAAAATACGAACAGTGCCCATTTTAGCAACAGGGGCAAAGGTATCCTTATAATCCGTCCCAAATTCCTGGTGATTCCCCAAGACCACAAGGCGTGCCTTATCCCGCTCTTTGGTACCGTCGGACCGGAACTTGGTCCGATAAACCCATTGACACCCCAAAGCAGTGCGATCAGGAGGAAGATCGGTGATGTCCCAATTATGATTATTTTCCAAAGCATCAATCTCCTGTTTCATAGCTACTCACCAATTAGCATGTTGCATGGCTTCCTTGAAGTTCCTAGGAACCTCATGGGATGTAACAGCCGCCAAAAAACTACGATGCATGTCATGAAATTTTTCGTAATGAACAAAATTATGGATAGGATACCGAGTACCTGAAGAGTGAGAAGAGGTAACGGAAGGAGCAACAGGAGCCAATGTCTGGACGGTATGACAATAATAATTGGCTAGGTGAGGGGGGTCGACGCTGACGAACTGGGGGTGGGGGTGACGGTGACGGGGAGCTGACAGGGGTATCTAGGTCAGAGCCCTCGTCACTACCGCTGGAAAAGGTCGGGGTTGCCGGGCCGCCGCCGCTGGGAGAAGCCGCAGGGACAACCGGCTAGGAAGGGGGGCTGGGGAAGTCAGCATGGGCATGGGACGGGGAAGGGCAGATTTAGGGCGATGGGTTTTTAGGAAGAGCAAACGGGAAGACAGATTCGTCAAACGAAATATCTCGGGTATGAAATAAACGATGAGACTCAAGATCATAAACCCATCAACCTTTAGTTCCCGTAGGATATCCCACGAACATACATTTTAGACTACGAGGGTGGAATTTATTGGGAGAGCGTTGAATATTACGGACAAAACATAGACAACCAAAAACTCGGAGGTGAGACAAGTCTGGAGGTTTTGAAGAAACAAGTTCAAAAGGAGATTTACCTTGTAATAGTGGAGTGGGTGTACGGTTTATGAGATAAACAGCGGCGCGAACACATTCCCCCCAAAACTCAAGAGGTAAAGAGGCTTGAAACATTAAAGAGCGAGCAACATTAAGAATGTAGCGATGCTTACGCTCAACCCGACCGTTTTGCTGTGGAGTATTGACACAAAAGGTTTGAACAAGGACTCCCTTACTTGTATAGAATTCACGAAGGGGCCAGTTGAGGAACTTAGTACCGTTGTCAGAACGAACAACTTTTATGATTTTATGAAACTGAGTGTGAATAAGAGAGAAAAATTGTTTCAAGCAACTAGTGACTTCACTTTTCTCAATAAGCAGAAAAACCCAAACAGCTCTAGAAAAATCATCCACAATAGTAAGGAAATAATGTGACTCAGTAGAAATACATGGAGAATATGGTCCCCATAAATCACAATGAATCAAATCAAACAATTATTCAGCTTTATTAATACTGGGAGTAAAGTGAGAACGAGTCTGTTTGGAAAAGAAACAAATATCGCAAGACTGAAAATTTTTAATTTCAGTAGTGCTCTTATTAAACGGAGGGAAAGATAAAACTTGAGGAGATGGATGGCCAAGACGTTGATGCAACAAGGAGACGGACTCGGCTTTGAAGGCCTAGGCTTGAGATGGAAAGACATAGACTCCGTTGCGTGCTTCACATTGACCAATCCGCATCTTCGTAGTGCGGTCCTGTATCACACAAAATGATCATCAAAGAAAACATGACAGTTATGTGAGTTGACAAGGCAACTCACGGAGATCAAATTGCACTTCAAATTAGGAACATATAAAGCATTGTGCAAGACAAGAGAATGAGACACTTGCACACGACCACACGAAGTGGACACAACATGAGTTCCATCCGGCAAGCTAATAGTGCATGGAGACCGTGGTACAACATCAGTCAAGCAGGATAATAAACCGGTCATATGATGAGAAGCTCCACTATCCACCAACCATTCGCAAGTTATAGAGATAGACATACCTTGGAGTTTATCAGATGACGAAGGGGTGGAATCAAGCATGGAAAAGAGGCGTGCAATTTGATCCGAAGACATGGCAGAGAGGGAGTTGGGCACATCAGTCACGACATTGGCCGTGGATGCTCTCGCCGAGGTCGCTGGGTTGCTGGACTGCCCGGCAATGGAGGGTGGCGGCTGGGCAGAAGTTTGGCCACCACGATTGCTACGTCCTCCCCCTCGGTTTGATGAAGTGCGACCACGTCCTCGGCCCGAAGACGGAAACCCAATAATCAAGTAACATCGATCTGCTGTATGTCCTTGTTTACCGCAATGAGTGCACTGGTATGTGTTGGGCACGGTGCGTGGAGCGGAAAACGCCATAGCGTCTGTATAATCATCCCGAGCACGTACAACGCTATGGTGACGCTCCTCTTGGGTGATAAGATAAAAAGATGTGTTTAAATCTGCGAGAGGTTGAGAACCCAAGATTTGTCCACAAAGAGTGCCAAACTGCTCATCATCTAGCCCCAACAAAAATTTTATTGTTTTCGCCTTCTCAACATTTGCCCTCAAATTCGCCGCAGCTGGGCATACACGTACAACCACACGTGGGATCCTCGACTCCGCACAATTTGTTCCATAAAGTGACAAACTGATTTTAGTACACAACCACAATTTGACCCTTTTGCCTAAGATTCTGCAACTCATTCTCCAATTGATAAATCTGAGGCTCATTTATGGTACTAGAACGGGTTTTCAGATCTGACCATAACTCGTGAACCACGGTATGAGAAGTAATACTAGGTTGTATAAGCTCATCAACGCTATTGAAAATCCAACTGCAAATTGTGGAATTATTGGCTTCCCACGCTTCCAATTCCGCAGGATCAGTAGGTTTAGGCATTCCCGTAGGAGACAAAACCCCACCTTACTACGTCCCTTTAGAGCATTAACAATAGTTTTCTCCCAAGTATCAAAATTTTCACCCTTTAACACATGTTTTGTCAGAGTATTACCTGGGCCCTCAGACAGATGGAGATAATATTCTGACGACGAATCGCGAATCAAACGAGTCTTCTTGGTAGTAGAAGTCATCCCAAGAAACCGACACAAGACACGAAGGGGGTGAGTACACGGTTTGGCCGACCACACCTGTCGACTACCGGCAGTAATCGAATGGCTTCTTCGCCGAGAAGGAAGCACGATCGGAGAACAAATGAAGCACGACGCCGGCCTAGGGTTTGGCCGTTGAAGAAGTCGAAGAACAAGGACGCGCGAGAGGCCTAGGGTTAGGCTCTGATACCATGTAGAAGTTTTAGCGAAACTGAACTGCTTTTCATTAATCATAAACCGATATATATACAAGTACATAAACGGGCTAACAAGTACAGGCCCAATAACATAATATCTACGGTTAATTACAAATATCCTCTAACAAAAAATTTCTAATACGGCATTCAATTTTTCAACAATAACAAATTCTTTCAATAAAATCATAAAACTAAGATCATTCCTAAGAAATGCAGCAAGTTCCTCTTTGTAGCTTAGAATCTGTGCTATCAACTTGTATGTACAATTCCATCTAATGGTGATATCTTTAGTAAATGTTATTAGTCTTCTATCCCTAGATTTACAGAATGACTTTCAGGCTTTGGTATGAACACGACTACCCCAAATCTATTTAATTCCATTTCTAATATTCGTCAACCCCCCCCCATAGCTTCTAATCCCTGTTGAACACATAAATTTAAAACATGACAAGCACACCATTGATGCAGAAATCTAGCCATACTCGTACTAGGGAGTAAATTTTTTTTAAGTCTAGGAATAGCAGTATTATTAGTAGCATTATCAAATCCAAATGCAAACATTTTATTAACTAAATTGTATTCTTCCAGAATACGCGAAAGCAATAGAAAAATATTTTCACTAGTATGAGATTCATTGAAACGACAAAATGCAAGAACACGTTTATGCATAATCCAATCACTATCGATCCAATGACAAATAACACCCATATAAGACAAATTATGATATGTTTCACTTTGCCGTAAAAAATGATATGTTCCACTCCAAATATCAAAACAAATAGTAACACGAGAATTAAAATTAAGAAAAAATTTGCCAAATTCATTTTTTCAACTTTATATTGTCGAATAATTTCTCGTTTAATTGTTTTTCTTGAAAACCTCTTGGTTGAGGGTTTAATGCGTTTTGACAATAATCAATAAATCCAAGTTTTTTTGAAAACATGTATGGCAAATTTTCTTCACAAATCATTTCGGCCATTTTTTGCTTATTTTGCTCGTCATTATAAGCAAAAAGGCCGCCCTTACCCATGTTAGCAAACCGAGATGTTTGGGTTTGCACTTCTTGTCATCCCTTCTTTTTTTGTCGCGTATTTGGCGTACTCTATGGGGTGCTTGGCCATTAGGTGTTTTTCCGGACCACCATAACCACCAAAAATTTCCATTTTAATGACGGTGCCACAATAATTACAAGTTCCAAAAACTTCGTCATTTTTTGTTTCTTTTGAAAAATGATAAACAAATAAATCTTATTTTAATTTTTTTTTACCTTTTCCTGGACCTTGAGAGGTCTCGGGCTCACCTGCCTCCTTGTCGGCCTCGGTAGGATTGTTGCTCTGCAGTATAGGCTCCACGTCCATTTCTGCTTCATCAATGTCCTCGAATATATCTTTAAGAATTTGAAGATTGGCGTCGGTTCTACCTCCGAAATACTGTTCGAATTCTTGATCCGTCATAGCGTCGCCCACGAATTGATCAGGGATAGTAGAGAAGGAAGAGACGAGGTGTCTTCCTTGAGAACCACGTGAGCTCAAACTGTCGAAGGTGGCTTTAGCTTTCCCTTTTCTCGAACTTCAGTTCACAACGCCCATATCCACAGACCTTCTACCAGACTCTCTCGACATTTTAATATATTTTTATTTTGATACAAACGAACTATATTAAATATTTAAAATATTAATTATATATTGAATATCAAAATTATAATATTAATTCATAAAAAATTAATAATATAATACATTCGTTATTCATATAATCATATTATTATATATTACTATTTACTATTTTACTAATATATTATATTATTAATTTGTTATAATTTAATATTATAATTTGATATTCAATATATAATTAATATTTTAAATATTTAATATAGTCCTTTTTATCAAAATAAAAATATATTAAAATATCGAGAGAGTCCAGTAGAAGGTCTGTGGATATGGGCGTTGTGAACTCAAGTTTGAGGAAAGGCAAAGCTAAAGCCACCTCCGACGGTTTGATCTCATGTGGTTCTCAAGGAAGACACTCTATCTCTTCCTTCTCTACTATCCTTGATTAATTCGTGGGCGATGCTATGACGGATCAAGAATTCGAACAGTATTTGGAAGGTAGAACTGACGCCAATCTTCAAACTCTTGACGATATATTTGAGGATATTGATGAAGCAAAAATGGATGTTGAGCCTACACCACAAAGCAACAATCCTACCGATGCCGACGATGAGGCACGTGAGCCCGAGACCTCTCAAGGTCTGGGGAAAGGTAAAAAAATTAAAATCAGATTATTTGTTTATCATTTTTCAAAAGAAACAAAAATGACGAAGTTTTTGGAACTTGTAATTATTGTGGCACCGTCATCCAAATGGGAATTTCCGACGGTTATGATGGTCCGGAAAAACACCTAAGGGCGAGGCACCCCGTAGAGTACGCCAAATACGCGGCGAAAAAGAAGGGACGACAAGAAGTGCAAACCCAAATATCTCGGTTTGCTAACAAGGGTAAGAGCGGCCTTTTTGCTTATAGCGACGAGCAAAATAAGCAAAAAATGGCCAAAATGATTTGTAAAGAAAATTTGACATACATGTTTTCAAAAAAACTTGGATTTATTGATTATTGTCAAAATGCATTAAACCCTCAATCAAGAGGTTTTTCAAGAAAAACAATTAAACAAGAAATTATTCAATAGTATAAAGTTGAAAAAATGAATTTGGCAAAAAATTCTCAATTTTAGTTGTCGTGTTACTATTTGTTCTGATATTTGGAGTGGAACATATCATAATTTGTCTTATATGGTGTTACTTGTCATTAGATAGATAGTGATTGGATTATGCATACACTTGTTCTTGCATTTCGTGATTTCAATGAATCTCATACTGCTGAAAATATTTTTCTATTGCTTGAGCATATTCTGTAAGAATACAATTTAGTTAATAAAATGTTTGCATTTGGATTTGATAATGCTACTAATAATACAGCTGTTATTCGTAGACTTAAAGAAATTTGCCCCTCTACTACGAGTATGGGTAGATTTCTGCAT